CCAATAGGACCTTATCTCAATCAATCAAACTAGCATCAATCCATTGAAAATTCAATCAAACCACCTGTGAATCAACCATTCAATCAAAAAAAATACATCAAGCAATCAACCTGTCAATCAATCAATTGTACAAGCAATCAATCTATCAATCAAACAATCCTTCTAGCAATCAATTGGTCAATCAATCAATGCTTCAAGCAATCAATCTGTCAATCAAACAATTCTTTAAACAATCAATTGGTCAATCAATCAATGCTATAAGCAATCGATCTGCCAATCATTTAATCAATCTGTCAATCAATAAATGCTTCAAGCAAGCAAGCTGTCAATCATTTAATCAATCTGTCAGTCAATCAATCCTTCAATCAATCAATTGAATCAGTTCTTTAGACTAAAACGATGTGATATGAATTCAAATTGCTGCAAAACACGACATACTTTTTGTGATGTTGACCTGTCACTGGTTTTGTAAATCCAAGCTACAAAAGACACAACACAATAATATTATGAATATCAGAACCCAAAGAATGCTGCACAGATAAATAATAAAACTTAAAAAGGAAGACATGCCAAAAAATGTGATACAAACCAGTGGATCGGTTGTACAATGGGTGRATATAGTTATCCACTTCATAGACTTTGTAACTAAAGGATTTTATCGTCTAAAATGTTAATATTAATTTGTATTTATCCATTGGATAGCACTATACTACCTATTATACAACTGGCCCCAGCTGCTGTAGTTACCTCACTGTATTTGTTTGTCAAGTTTTTTTAATATTAAAATCCTTTTTTGCTTTTGGGCTGGTATGACACATAACATGATTATTTTTGTCTTTGTTTGTTAGTAAATAATAAATAATAATAATAATAATATATTATTCATTATTGAACCTGATAAGAAGTCTTTGTTCTTGTACCAAATCCAAGGTCTGCCTTTAAGCTTTCACCTCTACCAAGCACGTTGTTCATCTTTGCTCCAAACACCTAAAATATTACCAGAGGGCAATTGTCATGACTAAATATACAGTGGGAGCAAAACCATTGTACCCTMRCACATTTTATTGTGCTACACCCTTTTGGGGTTGTTCTGATTTTATTTGCACATTTTGTCATTAAATAAATTCAAAATATCATAATGATCATTATTCATATTATAATAACACTATAATATCAAACATGCTTCACTTGCATTGCATTTKTTCATAAAATGCACATGATGACAGAATCAGCATGAAATCTATATTTTGACTGAAAATGTAGCATTGATGTACACAGTTATGAAAGTGAGCTCACATTGAAATACTGCAGCAACATACCTGACATTGAACTTAATGACACAGAGCTTAAAACAAAAGTGATAAAGCCCCTGTTTACAGGAGATAGCAGGATGCCCCTGGTTGTGCCAAACTCTTTTGTTTCCTTTTCTCCTACAGGGTAACCTTAGCCTAGTCTATCTAWTGTGAACAGGGCCTAAAATATACAAAATACTTACCATTGACCCCTCATTGTTACCAACTTGAGTCCCMACATTGCTGGAAATAATTCTTTTTTCTTTGACAGATAACGTTACTTCATATCCATTTGGACTGGCTTTTGGGCCTTACAATCACATAATATATGATATACAGTGTAACCTTTCATTCATCATCATTCATGAAGCTTAAAAAACTCATACATAATTAATGAGCTACTAGGCCAATAGAATGAGCCTATTTGGTCACATGCATGGACCTTTATATCTGATAAAACACTCCTTATTAGTATTCTTTATATAAAGAATACTAATAAGGGTGACCTTTATCAGATATAAAGGTCCATGACCCTAGCAAAGGTCTCAGGTTTGAAACCTGATCATTGACCAATGCAGGATGTCAACCGATTTCAGTGAACAGCCAAGAGCGNTTCTATTTTACTTTATGCGTATTCAATGTGGGATGACAAGAGTGCTTTGTAAAGTGATTCGCGCATGATCAGTTTGCCCCATTTATCTCTGAACATATTTGTACGGCAATTTCTCCAAGAATTTTAACGGATTTGAGTTTCAAATTAGTGTTGGAGTTTTTTAAGCCGTTTAAAACGTTTTTTTTAGGACTTTTTTGTAATTTTTAAATTCAAGCACTTTTCAAGGATTTAAGGACCTGCACGGACTCTGTAGCATGGACACCACAGACAGATGTGGTAGGTGAGGGTGTTTCTGAATAACACAGATTCAATTCTTACCTTGACTTGTATCAATGACTACATTGATGTGTTTAAATATCTCCAGACTACTCAAATTATCTCTAACTTCTAAAGTGTATTCTACAACCTAGACATTGTAAAATAAAAAGAATCAATTAACATTGACTTTGTACATGACTGTACATGATTGTATATTTTGGTATCCAAGGTCTGCCTCAAAATCTTTTATTCTCCTTTTRATTCAATTCCTCCATTCATTTTTTTCTTCTATTTCTCTTCACACCTTTAAATTGTGCCTTCAAGACTCCTGGCCCCTCTTCTCTTCATCAACCTTGGTTCCTTTCTCCCTGACTTCTATCCTTGCTTCTCTCCTTCCTCCCATCAGATCTTCTTTCATTTGTCCCATGTTCCTTTCATACTTTCTGCACTCCCTCCATACATTTTCTTAATTGACTTCTTGATTCTAACTGCATCCACTGCATCCAGGGCCCTTTCTCTTTTTCAACCTCTGTTAGATCACCATGTCCTATTTTCTTGATTCYTTTCATCCTTTATCTATTTCCTTCTTTCTTCCACTCTCTGATCTCCTTTCCCTCCTGCCTCCCGTCCCTCTCTACTTTAGACCTTCTTTCTTCTTTCTTTTGTCCTCTTTTTTTTTCTGTAGTTTTTATCCTTATTTCACTACCCAATTCCTCCCTGCCATTTTCTCCCTTCCATCCTCCCTCCCATCCTCCCTTCCATCCTCCCTTCCATCCTCCCTTCCATCCTCCCTTCCATCCTCCCTTCCATCCTCCCTAACAAACCACTACTGGTTATTAATTTAATTATCAATGAAAAACAAATGCAAATATTACCTCTCCGAAAGTCTGTGCTTCAAGAATCTTTGTAAGTTCAGGAAGAATGAAATCAGTCTTTGTTCTGTGAAGACCTTCAATGTGTACTCTATCTACAACAGACTAGACACAGAATGGTATATTACATGACAATGGTGGATCTATTTGCCATAGATAGGGGTAGACTAGGGAAGACCTACACTGTACTGTATTTGGGAAATAAGTAATTATACTGGTTGTTCACTGAATCACAATCAGAATTATCAATACAATTMAGTTTGTTCTTTCCTGTACAAGAGCAAATAAAAGCTGTGCTTACTGGTATAGCAAGATAATCATCAGCTTGACTGCTGCCACYGCTTTCCTTAAATCAAAATCAAGATGGAAAATTGTAAATACATGTACTGTGTATACAGGTATTTGTCCACTATTCTTCATTTTCACTGTAAGTCACAGCAGCCATCTTGAAGAAGCTTCAACAAAGGATTTCTCGTTAGTATCTACTGTTCATTCCTCCAACATGCCCACCAGAATCTCATGGGAATCATTGAAAACAATCTCAATTAGGGAAAGAAGCTCCTACTGACTTCGTTATGTGCACACTTCAAAGGGACTGGATTGCAGATCCTTTGGTTTCATTTTATTCTCCTACTGGAATTTCAACAGTAATTGTAGAATGCTTGAAAGGTATTGTGGGTTGTGATCCCAACAACCAGCGACAGCACAATCAGACCACAATTTAAGATCACAAAAGAGATTAGAGGATTCTATCATTAAAACCTTKATGTGGAGACCGCCATTTCTTCCTTGCCACAGGAAACCCAGAGATAGAAAAACTTACCAACAAAACTAGCTGCAAAACTACTACAAAACACTGCAATCCAGTGCAATTTATGCTGAATATATAAATACGAGAACTAGAATTAAAATGCCATTCAAAGAAACAACAGAAGAAATGCCGGGTGTGATGGCGCGCATTTCCAAGGTCTCGATTTTGAGCAAGTTGCAGTACGTTTTCATTGCCCTCAAAGCTGCTGCTTTAACAAATGACAGCCACATACWATGTAACAATAAATACGCTATTCAATWTCATTCATTACATTTACAAAAACGACAGAAAAACACAATGTTTTAAGCTTACCATTTCTTTCGCGTAAACTGTCCCCATGTTGGTAATTATCATTCGCGTATTCATGTACAGCGGAACTAGTATTGGTCAGCGGAAATACTGGTTACCAATCCCCACTCTCAGTATTTTGCGACTTTCGCATGTTTTCTGGTGTTTTCACACAATTTTTAGTGACTCTATTTTATTTATTTATCATAAAAAAAGACAATTTACTATGTCTGAAGGGGAAGACATGAATGAGAGGTTGCCTCGAAGCTTACAAGGTTTGCTTAGAATGACTGCACAGCAAGCAAGAGAACAGGGAACACCAAGTCAATTTGAAGAAATGAGTGAAGAGGTATTGTACATGTACATGCAGTAGACCTAAAATTACACATGTATCAATTACATACATGAAATACGACAGCTATGGCTTGTATATGTGACTGAAAATAGATAGGGCATAATTTTTGTACGTTGAAGGTGAGTCTTTAGTAAGTTTGTGAAATGATGATCATTGTATGGAGGCGTGGGGCGGGGGACAGGGAGCCCGCCACTAAGAACGGCTGCGAGGAGACTATATGGAGGAATGAATTATGGGAACTGCAACCCATGATTTTTGGACGTTGATTGGCCAGATTTTGTTTTGTAGGATCAAGATACAATAGATATAAATGGGAATGGATTGATGCTTGATCAAAACAGCTGGTATCTTTGGATGTTGTGAATGATAAATATTTATAGTTTGAACTAGAAAATGAAAATGAACCTTAGTTCCATAATTATAGTAATTAATTTTGCATATATTTTGCACAGAGGAGGAAGTTTCTCGAAGAGGCTATCTCATCATTTAGTGAAGATACATACGTTAAAAGAATGTTGAAATGCCTTGAAGTTTTAAGCAAGGAAGAYGTTGAGGATGATGACGATGATTCAAAAGAGATGGCCTTTGAGGATCTTGACTCAATGGTTGATCTCATTGACAATGCAAATGGTACAAATCTTGTTAAACATGTATTTCACATGCAATTTCATGGTAAAATGCCCTTCTGTATCTTTTTTAGATCTCCATAAAATAGGAGGTTTTCCAATTGTTGTCAGATACCTCCACCATAATCAAAGGTAAAAGAATCTGATTATGGCTATAATTCACTCATAAATCATCTGATCTGATCCATCCATCATTCAATTGACAAMCATTCAACCTTCTCATTCATACATTTAAATCTATAGTATGATTATTGTTACTTGYTGTCATTTAGTGAGCTCCGATGGAGATCAGCAGATCTTATTGCTGTCTTGTCTCAAAATAACCCATATTGTCAAACACATTTAAATAGTCTTGGTGTTATACCAGTATTACTGCAATTATTGGACAATGATACAGTAGACCAAGTCAGAATTAAAGCTCTCTATGCCTTATCATGTGAGTAGACAAGTTTGATTATCTACTAAATCTCATTATTCATTTATTTAATAGTGAGAAATCTCCTTATGCTTTCAAGGACATGCTAACACTAGTCTATCTGTCATGATGAGTTTTAGAGTTTATTATTTTTTATTTTTCGTGTCCAAGCCATAGAACAACTCCTTCCCAGATAACTCTGTTACCTCCTTTGGGCTTCAGGGCTTGAAATAACTGCCAGACATACRCAGGACAAGATGCCCTTCCAAATTCATTTTTGGAAGATCATGTCAAGTTTTGAAAGGACAAATACTCTATACTATTATTTTCCCAATGTGCAGTGGACATCACCATATTAATTCAATTAAAACAAGACAGTGTAAACTTTGATGGATGCTATTTTACTCATTTCAAAAAAAAAGTAAGCAATGTAATTAAGTTTTTAAAAGATTTATTTACTGAATTGGGAATTGATAGTTTTTTTTTTCTAAAATAAAAAATGGGCAGGTCAATTTGCCCTTTCAAAATCCAATTTGGCTGGTCATCCAGCGAATTTGGAAAGACAATGTCCTTTGACCAGCCGTTATTTCAAGCCCTGGGCTTCCTTTGTAACAGTCAAAATACAGGAAGACTATGATGAAACCTCACATTGTATTATAAAATCAAGAATGTAATATTTTTACAATTAYTGTATTATAATTGTGGTACAATGACCAAATTATTAAAATATTTCTATTATTTGCTGTTTATCAGCTATGACMAGTAACTTTCCAGAAGGAAAGACAGTTTTCCTGGACAATGATGGTCTTTCTTCATTAGTAAGAGCTCTGCAGGCAAAGATATCAAAAGTGAGAATTAAATCTTCCTCAATGCTACGGAGCATGATTAGTGAGTCACTGCTTTCAGAAGATTCTACTATCAAAGGTACCTACATATCATAGTATATCAAGTACTGTCAGTTCTATATTATTATTCTAATTACTGTTAGTATTCTTGAGAAATTATTATAAGGTATATTTTCTTAATTGGCCACTGCAAGAAAAGAGAGGAGTCACATCAAATTTAGTATGTTTAAATTGACATGATTGTATCAATTGAAAAAAACTGCAAACTTATACAAATGTCTTAAATTCATAGTGTACTTTGCTGCATCAACCTTGATGTTTAATAAAAATAAAACAYAGCTTWCGACCTACGCGAAATTAAAGTTATATGGTTAGAGGGGAAAGCTACCTATCCAGRCAAACATTTCTTCGWAAAATTTTAACAATTTAAAAAAATATTACAATTCAGCCATAAATTATTTGAAACAAACTAAAATTGGCAAATTTGATTATTGGGGTTGATTAGTTTAGAAACAAATTCCCAGTCCTCTCCTGACTTTGTGCAGTGACTAATTCAACCTACGTGTATGTACAATTTGGACACTCTCTGACAARTTTCTGCATCTGCCATCAGGTACTGAATATGTAATTTTATGTCATTTTCAACTAGAAGCCTTGGTAAATATGGGAATAGTGGAACAGCTAGTGTCACTGCTACATGAACAACATGAACTATTCCATGAATTCATTGCTGATTCACTAGCTATTCTCTCAGAGAATCTACCTAAAGTTGTTCAGGAATGTCAAAGACCTCAGCTCCAACTTGAAAAGATTTTGCATGAGAGGATACATGAGCTTGAGAAAGAAGATAAGGAGGCATTTGAGGTAGATTATACACTGTATTATATTAATTCTCATACTCATTAATTATTGACGAGGTATCCAGCCAATCCGTGATTGTAATTTGTACCACGTGCAGTAACTGGAAACCAGTAGAAGTACTCCTCTAACCTTGTATCCAGTTACTTCTACCTTGTATCCAGTTACTTCTACCTYGTATCCAGTTACTTCTTTTTACCTTGTATCCAGTTACTTCTACCTTGTTTCCAGTTACTTCTACCTTGTTTCCAGTTACTTCTACCTTATTTCCAGTTACTTCTACCTTGTATCCAGTTACTCCTACCTAGATCAATTTAGTATAGAATTAATTTAGTGAAAAATGTCTTTGATACATGACTGCCTCATGAATCGATCCCCGACCATCCAGTCTATATATGGATTGCGGCATCATATATCATTATACCACGGAGTATGGCATAGTGGGGGTGAGATGGTGGGGGCGAGATGGCAATGAGGCGAGATGGCGGGTAAGWTTTGATACTTTTGAAGGCTTATAAAGCTATTGTAGCTACAGCATAGAATGAAATTACTAGACAAAACACTAACTTGAAGCTGTTATACTGTAACTCTGTTTTATTATGGACGTTTCAGCACTTTGGCCCTCTTCAGCAAACTGAGTGTTTTACACATGCCACTCTCTATAAATCCTAACAACTAAGGCAACCAACAAACAGCAAAACTACAAAMAAAAACTARCGGAAACCTATAAAGTGTGCACTCAGAAAAATTGTGCACACAACCATATATAGCAACGTAACATTTCCTTTTGTCAACAGACAGAAATAGAATGCTACAAAAGATTGCTGGCTCAATGCTTTGGAAATACAGCATATGAAATGGACAGTTCATTGAGATAGCATAACGATACTGTAATTTGCTACAATATGAACATCTGGCATGTAGTATGCACAGGAAGCTCAACATAGAGAACAGATATTTCTGTTAGGAAAATTGAATGCTGGCTTGGATGTGAATTACGATTAGGTGACAAAGTTTTGTTTGAAGAACATGCTCTTGTCAAGACACCTCCCAATGGTACTATCTGGCAAAGTTGTGAAGWCAAGAGAAAAGGGAATGGGAGCCARTAAAGTCAAAGTCTTACTACCCTTACAGACATGTTAGGCATTGTTAGAAGACTATAACAATAATGTAAAAATGTCAAAGAATGACTATTTATGACTATTGCCAAAAAGCCTTCTCTTCCCAAAGAAAGAGTACAATGTACATCACGTGTTATGTTTTTTGGCAGTATAATACAGCGTAATTCTATTTCCAACTGCATTGGAATTTCAATACATTTTTATTGATTATACATAACTTATTGGACAATCTTTTTAAGATATTATAGCGGAATGTCTTAGTTTATAAATACCTATTCAATACACAGTCAGAATTCTGACCACTAACTTTTATTGATATACATGGGGATGTYTGTGTTTCAAATTGAAATCTTTAAGATTGTTTGAATATCAATAACCTTTAATAAACATATTTTCAAATGATTTGCAATCTGTTTCAATGTGAAAATTTGACAAAATCATATTAAGTTACCCATGATGCAACTGATCTAATGATAATAATTATGTTAGTGGTCAGAACAGCCAGTTTAATCTTACAAATAAAACAAACTCTTTGGCATTGAAACRATGAGAAATAATCTACAGTATAGTCATCCAATCCTTGATACTGAAGACTACACATGACTGATGTCTTATTCAATGTACTAAGTACCTACAGATAAAATGGTATAACTATGGAATAAATATTTTTTGGCTATTAGAATACTAAAAGTATTATGTGCTTTCACACTACTTCATTATACTAGTAAGAGTTATTCTTAGGGAGGATTCATATTGGGAACATGGACAGCAGGGCTTGTATTTAGAGTTACATGAGAGTCACACATATGCTTGTGTGTAAGAATTCATTGTCTTATCAGGTCTCTGAAAATTTGAACACTTGCAGGTTTACACAACCAGGGTATATCAGGAACCAGTAGGTAGTGTGTATATTGCATAAAATTGTGTATCTTTTATCCAATGGATAAGAATTTTACTTGAGCCAGCATATGAATAACGTTATATCCYATCACTGAGCCCAGCCAGTTTACCAATTTAAAACACTGATGTTTTATTCATCAGTTCCTTATCAGATTTAAAGTGATGATGATGGTGTGGTTTTAAGTTACTGTTGTCCACTGCTTTTGATTATATTACTATTATTATGACTAGTTAGTTTTATCTAGAGTTTTTTTCCCAAACGCGCATATGTCTCGTGACAAATCGTTACTCCGTCTTCTCTTCTTGCTTGGTTGCGCCTTCCTGGTGCACGTGCATTATACTCAAACGTTCAATCAATTCCTTGTGTTCTGGAAACATCTCCGATAATTTCCCAACATGCCCAAGCTGCGAATCATCGAAATGAAATCCCGGGCTCGTCGAAGCAGTGAAGAAAACAAACGAAGACTCGCTCTTTTCGAGTAACTCGCCTGCAAACCACATGCCAGCTGGAACAACTTGTGCATAAGATGCATTGGGATCTTGCAAAGTATCGCCGACAATTTTACAGCTTAATTTGCCTTCTTCATCGATTAAATACAACTTTAAAGAAGCTCCTTTGTGATAAAAGAAGGTTTCGTCGGAGTTTAGTTTGTGCCAAGGGTTGATATCATCATGYCTCATGACCACGTAGATCGACGTAGAAGCGCTTCTCGGACCACGATCATCAGTCAGTGGTTTTACATTGATAGCTGAACGCTGAACTTCTTTGAAGAATCCTCCGTAGGGGTGAGGAGCGAGGTTAAGAGTTTTTGCCAGTTCTTCCGCCATGTCTTAATTGCAGAATTTATGAGCAAGCAATATCGAATAAAACAAAGGGAGTCCGCAACAAAGGATTTCATACGCAGGGAGCCCAAAATATGACTGATATGATTGAAAAAGAATAAATGAATCCACAAAAATATAATTGAATAAATGATAAGTCGATAAATGAATGAACAGATATTTGAACAAATGGATAGATCTTAACCCTCGTGAAAGAAAGAAAAATGGGAGAGTTGCGGGGTCCCTGTGGTACTCATCTGCTATCCAATATGGCGGCCAAATTGACCAAGATTTTATGGTCGAGAAGTCTTCGGTATCACAGCTCGTTATTGAGTGTTATTTTTAAAAGATGTCACTTAGATTCTACAAGGAAAGCTCATCCTATATTATTCAGGTAAGATTTGTACTTTATATAGCTTGATCTTGTACTTTATTTGAACGAAAAAATCACACGTGCTCTGCAGGATTTGCTCCTGTGCCAGTTGTCAGCAATTCATGTGCTTACATAAAAGTGTATTCTCGTAAAATGGATTTATAAATAAAATTAAACTTGTTTATGCCACCCTAAAATTACTATGATGGCCCCTTACATCAACTTTCTGTCCAATAGAAGCTTTGCAGTTTCGTGATTGCCGTTTTTCTAACATAGCTAGCTGGCAGGCATTCTCGGGAGTGACGAACGAACGACAGAGAAGATTACCCCCTGGGTTCCCGAGGATGGCTGTCAGGGGCTGGAGAGGAGTATCTTCCATTCCTAGCTAAATTGTCATGTGTTTCAATTTCCCACAAATGTTTGCTGAATCCCTCAAATGAACAACGAGTGCCAAGTAATATCAAATCATGACTTTTTTTCACCATCAAACATTATTTTCCTGACATTGCAAAAGGATAAACAAGACAACTTTTTGGGTTGTTGCCCGATTTTGCCTCGCTTTGGTGCAAAATCACAGGCTCCTCGCGCAGCTACAATCGTGGACATAAATACTTGATAGTTTTTCACTGGAGCATTAAAAATACTGTATCGTGTGCATAAACGGAAAATATTCCCCTTCCCTCCCTCCCCTCCCGCATCAATGTTGCATGCAGGGGTTAATGAATGGACAACCAATGAAAAGAAAGCCACACAACATTGTATTGGGGGAAGGGGGGGCACGAGTAAGGTTTTATCGAYGAAGAATGTTAGAAATTTCGTGCGTGCGTAAAAATTGTCAACATTTATGTCCAYGATTGTAGTTTCCTTACCACAAAAAGGGTTATTTTGTACATGTATGTCCTCAACATTTACATATAAAATGGTACCCCCCCMAAAAAAACTGTAGTTCTCACATTCTTTGATTTTGTTTCTTCAAATTCTTGGATTTTTATTAACTTTGCATGGCCATCCCAGAGTCTATTCATTCTTATCATTGGTCTCAAAATATTGTTATTAAAATATTATTACCAGAAAACATTAAGAGATCCATCTAAGACTCAAACTCAAACTTGTCTCAATCTACATGTACAGAACCGAATCTAGAAAATATTTAAATCATCCATCTTGACGTCTTGGAAGGACTGTTCACCACCCCTTTACTGTAATACAGTCCTTCTAAGATGTCAAAATATACATGTAATAGTTGTAAAGAGATTTTTCACAGGCACTATATGATTGTATATTTTAATTGATTTTGTTGTGTAGTCTTCAAACATCAAGGTTTTCTTCAGCAATTMTTGAAGAAGCTGACCAGGATGGAAAGCAGCTCACCACTGAACACAGCAAGATACCAGACCTGTCAAAAATTATGTATGTCGTGCATGTASTCTGAGTAATGTACTTTTATCTGTCAAATCTGAGGTTCAATACTTAGCTGTCAAGTTTTATAGTAATGTTATGATTGAGAGGAGGTGAAYAATGCTCTAATTCTTGGCAATTGTTTGTGACTTCCATAGACTTGCCACAAAGATATTCCCTTTGAAATTATAAGATTATCATAATATTTAAAAGAAATGGCACAAAAGTCCTGCCCCTTGTGCTAGGTGCTACATGGGTTTTGTGAAAGTCATAAAGGTCTTGAAGCCAGAACCAASTGCCATGCAACATGGCCATGACACTTTTTTGAGTTTCATCTAAAAATTAGTAAATTGGCATTCTGAACCAGTTGGCAACTGGTCTTTAAAGCAAGATGAAGAACATAACATTTGTCGTAATTCTTGTTTGACTAAAATTAAAGACTGGTTGTCTAAATTCACCTGTGTAAGTCCCCTTGACTTGTCCATTTCAAACAAGTTGTACTTTTCTCCTTGCAGTAYAGAGTCAGAAGAAGCATACAAAATCCCAAAAGCAGCAGACTCTCACAGGTCACAGTCAGTCTTTGATGATGAGCTATCAAAGTAAGGAAAACTGCACATTTCTTGACATTAATCATAAAAATAAGTATTGATTGTTATTGTTTTTTATGATCATAGAGACCAAGTCTGTAATTGACTTTTTTGTCCTTTTTCTGTTCATTGAGATTTTTATGTAGTTCTTCTAGAGAAGTAAAATGAGTGAATCATTCTATTTTGTAAGAGGAGCAAAAGTCTTTCATTTTGACTCTAGATGAAGCTGCCTTGATGTCAATTGGAACACCTCATTTACCCTAATAATAGAGCGGATTTCGTATGACTGTGCAAAAAAACACGGTACGTTCGTGCTGTGTCCGTACCGTGCCGTGATGTATTGGAAAATCTTTACTTTCATTTGAAATCCTAGAAGGCGAGGTTCCGTGACCGTGCCGTGCCGTGTCCGTGTTGTGATCTGTGCTTTTGCACAGCCATACGAAATCCACTCTACTCAAAAATTAGGTACTAGGCTTTTCAGTTAATTTGCTATAAAAACTAGATATGTTGTAGTTCAGGTTCAAAATGATTTTGAACCAGTTCAATTTCTTCTGAACTGGTTCAGTTTATTTTGAGCCAGTCCAATATAACTCAATCTAGTACAAATCAGTTTAGGTTTAGGTTAAGGGTTAGGTTTAGGGTTAGGTTTAGGGTTGGTAATAGGGTTGAGCCACCATTATATCAAAATTTTCTTCGTTAATAAATTACAATTAAGATAAAAACAATTTGCAAACATTACTGCCCACAAAATCCTTGATGGTATAATTGGTAGTACTGTGGACTATGAAGCAAGGGTTCAGTGATTCAAACCCTGATGAAGTTAAGTGTTATTCATAAATTAAAAATATAGCAAATATCAATATTTCTGTGGGGTATAGGGTAAGATCAGAGGAGGGTGATCAAGTGTCACGTGACCAATCTGACCAATCACAGTGAAGCAAAGAGATTTTCACAAGAATTCTAAGTCGAGTCAGAAAAACTATTTTTTTAGGATATTTATTGCTTTTCATATTAAAATTTTTAACGCATCGTGTAGGTAAAAGACCCAAGAATGACCGGGTAAGGTTTCATTATGATTTAAGCAGTACTTTTGGATTTATCAAAGTTTTTCTTCCAGTCAACGCTTTCGCGCCTTTCTAAATTTTGCGTATTTTACCCTAACTTTCACCAATTGTATTTGCTGAACTAATGGATGAAGTGAATATATTTCAATTTCTACGCATTCTTCGACTCATCAAAAACAAGAATCCCTGTGTGAACCCCCGTGAACCCGGTCTAGTTTTCGAGATATTTTGAATTTTCAATGAACAACTATATAGATTTACGTCAATATTGTTGTCACGTCGGCTCATACTCTTACTGCTAAAGTTCTAACCAAATTTACAGCTCATTGATAAATATCGATAGCAAAGTTCTTATATTTTAGTTTATGATGTAAAAATATCTTTAATTTGAAGCAAAAGATAAATAAAAACTTAATGACAAAAACTCAACAGTGTTGCGTGACCGGACATAGCCGAAACATGATGAACCCAAGGTCAGTGATCGCTTCGCAGTCTTGACTCAAGAGGTTTGCTAGTATTTAGCAGTTCTTATCAGTACTAAAACTCTTCACTGAGCTCTTAACAACAAAGATAGAATTGCTCTGTAGCTTCAAGATGACCACAGTGCAGACGGTAGGACGATTTAAACGTTTACGGCGTCCTGCCAGGAGTCGTTTACTCGACGACGGTCAAACTCAAATGAAGTTGTAATCGTGTTTAGTCCCATATTGCTTTGCGGGCCTTGATCACCCTCCTCTGGGGTAAGATAAAGTAGGAAATAGTAGAAGGTAGAAAATAAGATGATAGATAGAAAATGGGAGAG